GAAGGTAGGAGAGGGGAGCAGCTCGTGGAAATACTGAATCCCACGGAGGAAATACGTGTATCACACATGAGGCATGCTTCCAGCGATTACTTGTTGGATCACGAAGGTCAGAAGGACTCTCAATAGAATGACATCGATGACTTAAAGGGAAGTGCTGAACATGCAAGACGCCGATCGGGCTCAAACTATGGTCATAGAATCCCGCCCCGAGAGAAGTTCAACCCTGAGAGGTTTCCCAGCTTTCTCATATAGTCGATGCTTGAGAGCGAAATTTCAATAATCATTTGAACACCTTCAGGGTGTTCAAACGCGAATAACCTCTTAGGGTTGAACTTATCTCGGGGCGTGGATTCTATGACCGAAGTTTCAGACCGATCGACGTGTTGCTTGTTCCGCACTCCCGTTCTTAGATAAAATAAAGGGACGCGCAGTTCAAGGGAAGGCTGACGGTATGCACTCGATGTCATTTCGCTGCAGCTGTGGAAAGATCTAAGATTTCGACGTTGGATGAGGAATAGACGTTTTCACGCAATATTACGGTAGTGGCGTCGACACTACCCGCGCGGGTTTTCCACTTGATTGTGTTGATCGGCGGACAATTTACGGGCGATTCTCTCATTCGAGTTTGAATATAATCTGTGATTGATCAGGGTTCTCACGACTCGAGTTTCCAATCTTTCCAAAAATCATCGCGCACTTTCGATAAATGTGCCTCTGGCGCTCTTCAATATTGATTTTTGACGCTGATTTGACTCACTACGTGAAGTTTGCTTCCAGCCCCCCCCCCGTGCCGCTAGTTGATTAGGGTCTTAGGCTCCGAAAAAAGGTTTCATTCCGAAAGGGAAAAGTTTGCGACTCATCCTGATCATATAAGCACATCGTTTCTTATGTACCGATTTTCCATCTGTTGAGAGAGGCTAGATCTTCCTTGGTCGCGCAGAGAATATCCGTGGGCAGAACGTAACTCATAGCCCCGCATTTAACACGTAACTCGATAGAATCGTTCCCATCGGCAACAATGGGTGTCGACGCTTGCATCCTCAATCCCTCGAAATCGGTTCCTGGACCTTCTCCGGTCCACCATTGACGTGAGCTGTTCAGAGCCAGCCCTGTATCATCGCTACTCTCTTTCACGACGGTATTATTTATTAATCGTGCTCATTAGGGTCGTGCGTTTATTGTATTCCTTCACTATGACGTTTTGAATCAGAACCAGTATTTCCTCGCAGTCCTTGACGCTCTCATTGGATAGACCGAAACAGTCCGTCGATGCACTCAACATTTGAATTTAGATAAAATACTTCCGTTTTTTTCTTTCAAACAACTCGATCGGTCAGAGAGATTGGTGAGATCGCGATGGAGATTTCACTGGGGGACTGATACCGCAGAGCTGTTGAATGAGGAAATCGTGAGGAAATCATTATTACTCTATTGATGATCATTGCAAAAGATCATTGGACGCCGGCTCCCATTGGCCTGTTCGACAGGAAGCCTTCATGGAGCATCATGGTTGAGTTCTGATCCGGCTACCTAAAAGACCGTCTGACCCAGATCTCGAGGAGACGGCAAGGTCAGAGGGAATCTCGGAGTCGAACACCCTGTCCGACGCACTCCCATTCCTCATCGGTCATGAACAATCCGTATTGGAAGGTTTCTTGATCTACATTGTTCAGATCCCATGCGTGGGATCGGTGAAATCAGTGAATATCGGTTGAGACTCCTGAGTGTGGTGGACGCACCGGTCCAACGGCCTTCGGGCCGATCTGGCTTTGGGGGGGTAGGGAGGGCACTTATGGAATGCATCCCGCTCGGAATAGACGGAGGGAACTTCAATGTTCTAAAGACACACGCATCGGTCTCAATGCCGAGCCGCGTGTGAGAGAATGGATCCTCTCAATTCACTCGATTTTGACGACGGCCGATGGTGTTCATGGTGGGTTTCTTATCAGTTTCCGCTGTCACTATTCGCCAGAGAACGGCCGAGCCGGTCGTTTGGTTTGGCGCGTGCAACATTCTCGTACAGACACCTCCTCGAAGGAATCACGCGTCTTGATTAGATACGGACATGCGGCTCACGTGCTGGGCAACTGAACCAACAGAGGCCGACGTTTTTCGGCAGAAGACCGCATTCCCCGGATGTTACTTCGCTAGTTAGTCAGCGTACGGCGCACACACATGCGGGGATATCTCAGCGTCCTAGGAGAAAGACATATTGCGGAATAATTTGTAGCAAGAGAATCCCCCATCCGTGATCTCCCAGGACCATTCCTCTTGAATGGACCCGAGTTTACCAGCGACGGGACGCACCAATAAAACCACGGCACCCTGAAGCGGTTGCATCCTCTCAAACGATAGCTGGCGCTCCCGAACGCTCGTCCAGCATTCTAGGGGTTTGTTGCCATGGCTCCGAATCCTTTCAAGTCAAATGTCGAGACGGCCATAAAATTCAGACCGGGACCTGCTTCCCTCAGTTGCCATCCGCCGCGACGGAGGCGAACCGGTGCTTCGGCAGAGGAGTACAGACAGCTCGGTGGAGGCGATTTCGAATAACGATTCCGGCCTCACCACTTGTGGGAACCGCGTGCCAGATTCTCGAAGACCTCGCTGCGATCGATGCTGGAATTATTGAATACCTTGGATAACAGTTCCTTCGGTCTTCTCACGAAGGGATCGACGGTAAACGTCGATTCTCAGTCTCTGCAATCAAGTACCTGTGTAATTTAATTACGACGAACCGAGGCTGTCTCGATCTTCCGAGCATCTACAGCCTAGTCGTGTTGCAATAGTCGATTAAGCTTCCATCAACCTTGCCCACATAGCAAAACCTTCCCCGTTGAATTGGAGCGACTCGACCAGTACCTCGGGGCCGTTTTTTTCCCCCAGACTTTCCCCGGGAGGAGCTGAGGTAATACTATTGCCACGGGTTCATGAATCCGATACATTCTCCAATCAATCGCTGTGTACGCTCTGTCTGCGGATCGAAGTTCAATGTAGACACTACAATGCGCGTCGATGACTAGCATTCGCCAAGGGGAAATGTTGCAGAGGCATGCGCGCGTTAGAGAACGACGACACGACGTCAGAGAGGCCATATCCCTCAAGGGCGATGGGTCCAGTGTCCGACGAAGAACCTAATTGTATAGCTGGAAAGGATTCTCCCGCTTGAGTGGAAGATGAGCGACGGCACCAGGGCATCCATCCACCCTTTCACCCACTTCCTCAACTACTCACCAATCCATCGATAGAAGCATTGACATCTAGAAAGGGTCGAACATACAGAACAATGCCGAACCCCACCGATATATCTTCTTGAGCTAGCGTCCGTTTCTAATTCGTCTTTTTCTCTTCTTTCCGCCAGCGATACGTCTCACGCGACCTTAGCTGCGCTCAGCTGCGGCGGCGCGGCGGTCTGATTTCATGTCTATGATGAGCTTCTCATACAAGATGAGAAATGTTTTCTAGACTCACGGCGCTGAAAATTCGAAAATCCGATACCTACGATTCTCAATTCAGGTCTTGATCGACGGAGAATCTAGCTGAGCTTTCCGGGTTCCGACCCGGTCAGACACTTTTCCTGGATAAAGCCATCCGACTTTTCTGTATCATTCCAATTTTTTCACTGCTTCGTGATTTTTCGGCCAAGAATCGGCATAGAGGGAAGATATACCCCGATGGAGTCTTTCGACTCGTCCGCCTTCTCTATTATGAAAGGAACTGTTCAAGGCCTGTCGAGCTCTGATGCAGATATCGATTGCCGAGTTTCAGTGCGACGATATCTGGAGCTCCGGAAAATCTGCCTGAAAGACTTCTTGCAGATCTGCTTCACGAAAAAATGCCCTTTTTCGCCACCTAAAGTAAGAACGTGTTTATTCACGTAGTTTCATATAAATCTGACAGGTTCCGCGTTCCATTTCTTTGCAAACCTCTGATGCATTCTAGGTCCAACTCCGGCTCGTTTCGCTGCACTCTCGCTGGTTTGCTGGCTGTCTCCTGTCTCTTCCAGTTCATTGAACTCAGAAACTCACTGACAAGGGTAGGCTCAGATCGATCTAGCTCAAGAAGAATCATCACTCAATAACAGTTTCGGGTATCACCATAAGGGGAATTGCCATCATTGAAATATCATAGGTATTAATAATTATAATAATAATGCTCAGAGTTGTTTATGTACACTTCGCCATGTACGGGCTCCGGAACTCTCCCGATGCTGCTCGTCATTCCTGGGCCCTGATGCTCAGTATCTCCTTTCCGTTTCCCTCGGCTGACCAAATTCTTTCGAAGTAGGCGAATCCGGATCAGCTATTTAACTTGAGTGGGCCGGAATCCAGACAACGCTTGTTGGGTCTCCGAACTTATGGGTAGAGTACTCTTACGCCGCATCAGCTGTTTACTGACGCTAGTGTCTGCGATTCCGCTGCTACCACCGTTGCCATTGCCACCACCGCCTCCTGGCTGTCCCGTCAGCTCCAATTGCTGTAACACGGTGCGTCAGGATGCAAACTCAAAAACATAGACAAAACCTACAACTCAATGAAAATCAACGATCAAGCGAGCCAGTGATGAGCTCCATTCCAGCTTTCAAGAATATCGTTCAAGCATCTCTTCAATGAGCTGCCCATTCGGGTCTTTTCGAAATACATGGGGAGAGCGAAATACGATCGAACGTTTGACCGGTAGGGAGCTCAGGTTGGGGTTCCAAGACGGATTCGATTTACTTTCGGATAATTCTGGCAAGCTTCAGGTAGTGAGGGGAAAGGAATGTGGTCTCAACGAGCGGACTGGGGATTCGAAGCGAGCGGAAAACCGGAAAGTTGGAGAAGCTCCCATTCGAGAATTGAGTTTTCCGGAACTCATTCTTAAGTTCGCCGCACCTTGATTCCTCTCTCCATGAGAACACGAACTTCCGTAACTCCGATCGAAATCGACGGATCAAGGAACTATAGGCGGTCTGGCGTAGAATGAATCTGTCATTCAGAGCTTCGCGTATTTCCGGCAAACAATCGTGACTTTCGAACTTAACACAGAGTCTGTCTTCGTTAAGAGGGGGAGTCGGAGGCGGCTGTGCGCCCCAGAAAACGAGCCTGGAAGAGGGAGTGCGATGCTTGGGAAAACACTAGCGAAGGCTGAATCGAAACAATGGAAAACGGAAAGGAGAGGCAGAATCCAATGAAGGTGCAACCTACAGAAAAACCTAAGCATGAAAATAAGTCTACGCTACCTGGAGCTTGGCGGCGAGGAGGTCGTGCAACGGTGTTCCAGGCTCGGTGGTCAGCAACTGGGCTTGCATGTCGAGCTCTGGCGCCAGGGCGTCAAACTGAAATCAGAACAACATGCTCACTATGCCAAGTTCTGCACAACAGCTTCCCAAACTCGTTCCTTCACTTCAGTCATGGGTTGGATTGAGTTATTATCGCGGGCAAAAACAGAAACGAACAGATTCAAGGTGAAGAAATCAGGTGTATTTTATCATTCCGCTATCAGAAACGCTGTACACGGGGTCTTTCTTATTCTGCTGTGGTGTATTAGGGATGAGCGCGTAGTCAACGTGAAAGGAGTTTTCCGGTAGAATGAACGCACTGGGAACTCAATGAGATTGACAAGGAACCAACGAGTCCGCCGTCTAAGCCTGGCTCGTGGGTGGCTCTCACGGGGGATTCTGATTAACCCTGAATCCGGAGGCATTTTCATAGCTGAACAAGACTAGCGGAGTGGCGTTCGATAAGCGTCTCGGGTTTCGTTAGTGTATTACTTCAAACTCATGGAGCGATCACATGAACGGCTCGAGTCCGGTCCGTCGCATCATAACAGCTTACCGGTGGGCCCTCGACGCTGCGCTACAAATCTTCCTGCGTGAACACTATCGATCGATGTCATAGAACAAATAACGCACGGATGACTCGATTTTACCTCTTCATGGCGGGCAGACAATCAGATGTGTACATTTTTTCCCTGCGCGATCGAGATAGTGATAATAACAATGATATGATTGAAATGGATAATTTTCTCTTTCCAGGACCATTCGACCATTCCAAGATTCGACCAGATCTGGTGCCCACCGAAAAAACTGAACACGCGATAGCTGTCTCTCCGTGGGGTGGAGGGGAGGGGCGAGAATAGTGAATCGCTCTCACAAGGCCGCTGTCGAGCAAACTCGCTTGGAAAAAACCTCAGAATGATGTCCGATCCGAAGCTCCTCGTGGACTGCGGTCTTCTAATCGGTCTGCGCGAGGAGGAACGCGGCCGACTTGGGAAGGAATAAAAATATGCCATCGAATCATCGTGGGACCATCCGGTATTTATTTCCTTATTTCTTATTGCGTCACCAACATCCCGACAATCCAGCTCCGCACTGTTTCCGGGTTTTACTCATTTGCCCCGGTATCCTGATAAATGTCGTCTCCATCATCATGATTATATCCAGCAGAATCGATACCAGTTCAGAGAGTACCATCATCATCGTCGTACTGAGGTTTCGTCCCTGTTTTCGTAACCTGTATCATGAATTTAATGATCACGGAGCATGACTCGATGGGAAGAATCGGGTTGCTGTTTTACAGGAGCGACGACGCTCAAGGCCAGGACCGTTCGGGCTACTCTGACTTTTTATCTCATATAGTCTCAGTCAGGATCGAGAAGCTGATCCCGAGAAACTCCCTCCCGTCAATAATTCGAAGCTTACCTACGTAAAATAGTAGTCGCTCGCAATATCACTCGCTACAGAAATTATTCCGCCTAATGAGTAGAGGAGATGAAGAACGTCACACAGGGTTTCTTGACATTGCTCTCCGCATACTCGCGTGGCAGTCGGCTTGCCGCGCCGTCAAAAATCGAGAATGTGATCCCCAACAAAACCTGGATCGTGTTCCCCGAAAACTTCAATTTGTCTCCAATCTCGTGCACTAAACCTCGCTGACTCTCGGAAGCCTCGCTCCCCCTGCCGCTCGACAACGACCCAGCTCTCGAACTTCCTCGAAGTCTCCGACGCGTTCTTAAACGCTCAGACAATCATTCTGGTCATGGTCAATCAATCATTCATCCGCCCAATTGGAGACGCCCGTCCCATCGTCGAAGTTCCCCGTCATCGACTCACCATCGCGTTGAATAAAGGATAAGGGTTCATCATTTCACGAAAAACAGGTCTTCGAAGTCGAGGGTGCTGGAGTTCGCTTGGTAGGTTTCTTTGTTTGGAGATTTATATTTTTTTTTGTATATACAGAGTTTCTTACACCGTTCGTGTGCCTAGCCTAACTAGCCCTCGAGAAGTTGATGTATCCGATTTGAGAGGATTTCAAGACACGCCAATGGAGCGCCGGCTCCCCGGATATGTTTCCCAGCCGAATCCAAATGAAATGAATCTAGGGATTCAATCGTCTTTCAAGTGTTCCCGGCACGGCGCTCGACAGCCGTATCGTACCAGTCGCCATGAAATTTCCTTCTGGCACTACCCAACCCGCAACTTGGTCCTACTTGCCCCGGGGATCCCTTTACGGGGCTCCGACAACCTTCCGCAGATGGACGGGACAGAAATGGAGTCTGTCAGTTTTCCTCTCGTTTAAACGCGTTTCTCTTACATCGGTAGCTGATCTCCAAGTAAGCAAAACAGCAGACAAGCGGTACAGAGAATTCACTTGGTGCCCCAAGCTCCGAACAACATAGTCCTCGATTCATCGCTTTGCACGTTTTTTTTTCTTCTTGCCGCTTGTGATCAAATAAATAGTTAATAGGTTGCGCTGACTCCTCAGATAGTCGCTCTGAATGCTCATCCATCTGGTTCTCTCACATCTACCGTAAGTATATGTTATTTCCTGTGGGTTGGTAAATTTCATCTATTTATTCATCTTGAGATATTGACTCCCACCTCGGTCACCCAGGCTCGTTCTGTTTGTCGTCACTAAGTGTTCATAATAATAATTGTTGTAATATTAATAATATTATTTATAAGGCGATGGTGACTATGACTCACAATGATAACAATCATCATCATGACCATTTTCACCATCACGCCTACCGCCGACGTTGCCATTGTTCATACGGTCGTCGGCGACCCAGACATCGGTCATCGCGAGAATTCCTCATCGTCGTCATGCTCATCAAGATTCGGTGTAATTTTTCCAGGCTGGCTCCCAGCGCAATCCTCGAGATTTCCTTCTCGGTTTTCAACTTCGGTCAGTCTTTCTTGGTTTCTTGCTGTTTGTTGTTCTTGTATCCCTCCGTATATACACTCCAGAAGTCTCGTTGTATCATCTTTTTTTTCATAAAGACTTGACAATAGGACAAGGGGATATAGTTGCTGACAACTTGTCCGAAGTATGATGATCGATTTACTTCGATCAAAAGCTGAACTTACGCCGTCACTGATTCTCAATCGTGTCACGTCTCATGGTACATAATCATATTGTGTGTCTTCCATCGATCTACCGATGTTCGTATATCGAGTTTTCATTTTTTTTCCTTATGCTTACGCTCGCTTGACCATGGGAGCCTCCGCTCCGATCTGCTCAATGCGAATGGCAATCAAGGGAATAACACGTCTGAGAGTGTGACTAAGTGTGAGGATTGTTCCGAAAAGGGCTCTAAGCCGAAGTACTCAACCCCGTCATGCACACAGAATCCCGTATAACCGGGACCTTCAAGCATTGGAACACCGAGTCTCTTTCATTCCCAGCTCAGCCTAAGTTTGTCCGTCTCCTCGCTCCCGTGAGGTCTTCCACACGAATGCCTGTCCCCGTTCTGTACCGATGCGGAGGGAGATCGAGTGCTTGGGTTACATCGGAAGATAATAACAGCATGGGAAAAACTGAACTGTCTTTCTGGCCGATTCACGAGGAGCGATTATCCGCCTCGGAGCTACCTCTTTTCCGCCTGCCCGGATCGATTCAATAACAGAGTGAAATCAATGATAGTCCCCACCTGTCGAACCGGACAGCCAACGAAGATCTTGTTTTATGCCGCATACCACGTCCTCTCCGGGGGATCCATCCCTTGCTCTTGCTCAATTTGATGAGATCGGCGCCAGGATCGTCGACAGATCCGTCGTGTTCCACCGCTGCTCGAGCGCAGGGAGTGGAATTCTCGAAGCTCGGAACTTATGCGAGGGAACTTCCCACCATCAGCCAAGTCGAAGTCAATAACAGGATCATCATAGATCAGAACGACGGCTGACTCACGATGACGAGGACAACCGCGAACTACGCTCCCGACAGACCTGCCTGGACGGGCTGATAAGCATAGAGCTCATTAAAGCCCGCCGCGCGCTCTCATGTATTCCGTCTAAACGTGCCTTGTAGCGGGCGTGGGAAATAGAGAAGGGGAATCGGAGCGCCCAGAGAACAAGGGAAGACGATGAGACAGACGGAGTAGTTGAAAAAACTGCGAGAGAAAAGTCGGTGAGGCTAAGCGGGAACATTGGGGCAGGTAGAGACGCAGACTTGCTACGTTCCATGAACTTATAACGATGCGTTATAAGTTGAGCTGCTGATTTCAGTCAGCCCGCACCGGGCTATCCGAGAGAGAATCCGAAGAAGAGGTTCCGAGGGTCGAAGATGGATGCATGGGCGTTCTCTCCACGAGTTAATCGCTCCGGCTTTCGGATAACTGCGACGTGTCTGTTCGTGGGTAGGTTGCTCACTTGGTCGCCTGCTCTCACATAACTTCAGTCTGAATCTATTGCTGAATATACACCGAATAACAGAAGAAAGGAGGATCTCATTCCCCACCCTTTGATGGGGAGCCAGGCGCTGCCGATGACCGGATTCTTCCACGCTCGATGGTGAAACCAAGCCAATCGAGGAGGCAATGATTCCAAGTACAAGACTTCTAGATCAAGACTGCTCCGACGGATGCTGACTGAGATTGCTTAGAGGCTCGCCCAATCACATTCCCACCCAACGTCAGTGGAAACGTCTGTACAATGCTCGCTTCAAAAAATAAGATAAAATATTAAATAGAATCAAGCTTGCTGTCGCTCCATCGCTTGAACTCGTTCAAAGGTGAGCAGTGGCTAGATTTGGATCCTGATTATCCAGACGCTCGTTTCTTGGGAATTCCCAACAACATATTGAAATCAGGAGTCCGAACGCAACGTCTTCCAAAATGCGTCAAGGGAGAGTCACTGACATTTGTCGACAAGCGCCTCAGCGATCGTAACACGGAAGTGAGATCTGTCGACGACAGACGGGCAGGTCGAGCCATCGATCGACGCGAAGATGACAATTTCCCCTCATCAACCTCAGCATCCGTCGCACCTCGCTGTAATTCGAGTATCCGGGGGATCGATGAGAAGCACTCTATTCGATCAGCGAAGATTCCCTGATTTATTTAAGGTTTCCTGCGCTCCTCCTCGTGAACAATTTACGGAGGACAAGCCCATGATGGAGTACCGACGAGACTCAATGTAGGACGACTTGCTGGTTTCATGTATCAGATGTGTCCGAGTGCGTCTTCACCGGGAGGTTGCTGTGTGAATGTATACGCGGCGGAACAAGACTCCTCTTTCTGTTCCTGTCTGTCCGTCTTTCTGTCTGTTTCTTTGTTTGCTTGTCAATGTGCTTGTCTGTGTGGCCATTCGCAGGTCTGCTTTGTCAGTTTCTACCTAGTAAGATACTAATCCGACTTGTCTTCATCATCATCACCATTATCCGTCTCGCAGTTCTTCATCGTTATCATCATGATGGCGATCTCGACGATGATCATCATCATACTTCTAACACAGCTAATGAATATTTTTCGCTTTCTCTCTTCATCACGTTGGAGGAAATTCGAGCGAACGTTGCCTTCTTAACCGGCACCCACCTGCGGGTTCTGAATCGCCATCTGCTGGACTCTTTGCCAGAATTCTTGACGCTGTTTTTCCTTCGTTTCGTCCAGGCCGCTCTCCTCCTCAAACTTTTTCACGCATTCGTTAAATAGAGTCTGGTTGATCTCCATGAACTGGCGCATGGCTCCGTAGATGAGTCCGTAAATCGTCTTGTTCCAGTGACTCTCCCGGTTCTTGTACAGTGCAGGGAACATAATCGGCAGAATTTCCTTCGAACAGATAGCAGGTTAGTACTCGGAACGACACTCGCCGAGAGGGAATGGCGCGTGATTGAGGTCAGTTGCCGCTCGTATTCTCTTCAGAAGGAAATTCCTCCCTGCCCTAATGAATGGTACATGACGATTCGTGACTTCAGTGCGATGACGCTGACAAGGTCGATTCTTCTAAGGGCATTTTGACTTACTTGCACATTATCAGAAATGAGAGACATGATGTACTCATTGTTGCAGTAGTAGAGTGCACGTTCAGCCACCTGGAAGTGCGGGGAGCTAACGCAACGCGCCAACTGCTTAAACAGAGGCACCTGAATCTTCTGGAATTCAGCGGGCTCGATGACGTCAAGGATTTCCTCAAGTTCGTTGAGAAACATGACTTCCTTTGGACTATGCACCTAGAAAAACCAATTTATCTCTCAGGCCGTGGATTTCGCGGGAATGCGGCGAGAGGCGACGCGGAGGGCATGAGAATGGCGAACAATAAAACACTCGGAGCTATCGGTTAGCGAGAGATCGCTTCTACCTTGGGCCAGAATTTGAGCAGCGACAAGATGACTGGCTTGGTGAGGGAAGGGTCCTTTTCAAGGAACTGCACGACGCAATACGCGAGTTGCGGATGGTAAACCGAGAGCGATTTGACCTTGTGCAGAGGCATCAACACCTTCAGGAGGAATACCTGGCGGGACAGAGAATTATAGTCAGTGATATTCCTACTCCATTGAGACCGCTGTCGATCACCCATCGCGTCGCGAGTTCCGACGGAGGTCTCGACTCGGCACGCGATCTAGCTTGACCTTCCAGCTCGCCGAAAATCACGGAGCAGGCCGCTCAAAAGAACCTCCGTACGGGCGCACCTTATGTTCTTCCTTCAAAGGAAGAGCGAAGCCGTTGATGATAGAGCCCAAGATCTCGAGCAACTCGGCGACGCCGTTATGCCGCTCCGTTTCGTAGATGAAACGGTAGAAAATGTTGTTGATCTGTTTGCGGATGTAGCCTCGCAATGAGAGGAATTTTCCGTAGATACGATGCAGGGTCGTTTTGAGGAAATCTCGTTCACGTGGGTCCTCGCTGTCGAACAGCTCCAGTAGTTGCAAGACGAATCGGTGGTCAATATATTTCTTGGCGATATTAGGTTGGAAATTTGCTGATTCAAGAAACCTGCAAAGAAAGGCTCTTTTTCATTAAGGCTGCCGTTCTTGTAGGTTTCTCTTTCGCTCGTAAATCGGAAACATCTTTCTCCCTTCTCCCTTCCATCGTTAGCAACCGAGCGGGTGTAAAACCTCGACGCCATAAACTCAACGAGTCTTGCGGAGTTCTACTTCGGCTCCCAGATTTTACTCTTCTCGCTGCTGCCGCCACCGGTCTGACATTGCCAAGTTCTAGATCCGCGGCACGCACCACATTCGACTCGGAGGTGTACCGGGTGCACTTCGATGAAAAGCTCGATCGTGCAGAACTGGACAGGCGGGACTGCAGCCCACTGTCAACATCGAGCAACGGCGATATCGAGGATACGAAAACTCGTGACAGAGCAAGGAGAACGCAGCTCGATTCGAGGGAGACGAGGAAAAAACACTAATATGTCAGATGAAGAGAGCGCCTGCCGCTCATCGAGTCGGAGAAGCACACTTGCCTCAGAAAGAGTTCGTATACGAGCTGAAGATGCGGCCAGGCTGCTTCTAGAGTTGGTTCATCCTCTTCTGGGTCAAACTCCGCGCCATTCGGATTGCTCGAAGGGGGTAGGGTGCGGAACACGTTTGTTGCAAACATGCGCGTGATTTCACCTGTCGACACAAATATTCATTATTGGTATGTGCCATGGAAGTCGGGAAAAGGGAATCTCTAGATAAGGCTATAAGACATTTCAGCTTGAGCGAGCAAGTGTTTATACAGATATTGCAGAGCTCGGCCGAGCGGATAATGAAGTTTAGACTTACCGTATACAGGTTCGGTTATGGCGCCCCGTTGAGAGCTCAAATACTCGAGCATCTCGTGGAGGGCGGCTCGTTTTACTTCTTTCCATTTAATATCTGATAACGGATCCGATACGAAGTCGAAGATAACGCAACACTGCTGCATCTTTTTGATGAGAAGACTCTCACGTTCCTCGGGCGGGGCATCTGCAATGGAGTCGTTGATTTTCAGACGAGAATCCCAGAGGGTGATTCCCACCGAATTAGCAAGAATCGGTGAGGCGGAGGCACGAACACAAAGAGACTCATTGGATCATTCCTGGTATACTGGTGTCTTGGAGTGGCCGAAGGCATCGGATGGGGATAGAGTAATCACGGGGAAAAAGACTTTTCCGAAAAACATCGATTCGCGAGAATGAGCGGAAATCCCTGTCGCTGCATCGATATACTCTTGAAGGCTTCCTCCTCTGATTCTTTGGCTTTCGAGCCAACCAGCCGGCGAGCGAGCCTCAGCTTTTCGAGGACGCGGTCGTTTACCGCAAGAGATGAGTTTAGCGCTCCAAATCGCACCGGAACTTGATACACTGTATATTTCGCTATCTAGTCTTGTGTCCCGAAAATCCTTCACACGTCAAATCGTATCATGAATCATGAATCGACCGATGCCGATATGACCGGGTGTCACGAATCATCCGTCTCGTTTTGGACAAGAGCCAATTCCGGCCAATAACGGATATTAAACAATTGGAATGTTTAAACCTCGGAGATTTGCGTATTAGCAAACGCGCTCGAATCGGTGTGAGGAGAAACTTTTTTCTCCGCCTCGGTTCACGGCTAGCTCACCGGGCCTGGTAGGGGAGCGAAGAGAAAGGAAATCTCCGTGGAGCTGTCAAAGTTCGCCGTCTGGCGCTCTCCCACCGAATCTTGTCAACGACCATCTTATCGCCTCGACAAGCGGAACGACTGTAATCAATCATCAATGAGTTTTATCTCATCGAGCGCGGACCGACAATCTACGTGAGAATGGAATCGTACGCCAGGACGAATCTGCTCGGGAAGCGAACTCCTTGTTGTACCACGCTGCCCAAGCCACGGGTCGGCTGCGACAATTTCGACAATCGTCACGAACATGAATAAGTATTGTAAATTGCGGCCACGGCATCCGAAAAGGAGCCGCAGCTTGTCGCGAGTGCGGCAGATCATCCCTGACATGTCAGCCAGAGAAATGATCCGCCGAGCTCGACGTAGACGGCAGTCACCGAACTCCGTACCTAGGTGTCAGGATGCATGTTATTCGATTGGCTGCTGCGCCTAGTCTCGAGAGGAAATATTTTTATGACACGACAGTGGTCTGACGTAGAGGTAAGCCCGTTAGTCAAATGACACTCGATCCCTTTTCGCAGCAAAGAGTGAAACTCTCTTACTCAAAACCTTCTCCTGTCCAAGGACAGAGGTTTTTCCACTTGTTTTCGCTCCTCCGATCTCGGTTCATTTGATTTTCGGGCGCGGGACTTCCGATGATCACTCGCGTCCGTGTTTGATCTTTGGGTGTGACGTCTCCGACGCAGAGACGGAGAGCTTCCGATTGTTTGTCCAACACAGCGATTTCCCTCCGAGGACGTGCGATTTCGCCAGGCAGGGGATCCGATACCAAACTCGACAGACTCAACGAGATCCATACGACCCGGCTGCGTCGAGAGCTGACTTGACCTATTTCCAATGTATTCGAAAAGCTCAAGATGGTGGTCTTTCGATAAGGTCGGTCGACGGCACCGGTCACAACTTCGCTTAATCGTCGTCTTCGGCTCCTCGTCGGATGCTGCTGACCGAGATTGTTCTCCGGCTTCTTATTAGCCGGCACGAACGAGTTCTGAGCCGTCGTCTAAATACCGACATAAACACGAGACTTACGCTGAGAGCGGGACCTTCGCTTCGAGCCGATCCAAGGCTAGCGTGAAGCTAAAACTAGCAAACGGAATGATCACAAAAATCCCCAACATTTCGAGGATATTAATCCCGCAGTTTCGATGGTGGTCATTATCTTTCCCGACATCGACCCGTGAAGGCAGCGTGGACAGTCCCGTGGGCAAATCCACGCAGACCGGGCGGCCAGAGAAGAGAATCGACATCATTATCAAGCGGTCCGTGGCTCGCGCGACGATTTCCAGGAACAGATACTACGGAGGGGTCTCGTTGGAGCGAAGCGACACATCGATGACTTCGCCCGAGTCATTCATTGCCCTAATCAGAAAATCAATAACATGCGCGTGCCGGAGCATACGATTTCGCCTCCTGCCACGAATCTACGAAGTCCGGACCCAGATCACGTCAATGATTGTGCTAGGACTTTGACACCTCCGACACCCAGTCGGAGAGGGGGCATATATGCTACAACGCGTATGCATGCCCACCAGCTTATGCCGAACTAAAATGAAGGAGGAAACGAAGAAGGAAAGTCTAATCCACACTCACCTTTGATTATGGGTAGATCCACGAGCTCTCTATTGGTGGTAAGGTTGAATCGCGACGAACTTTGTCTGCGTTCCCTCTTGACGTGGGTGGGGGACGTGTTTCCCCCAGAAGCGTCCCGTGGGTTCGTAGAACCGGAGCCGGCCAAGGGTGCACCCCCTAGACCTCTCTCTCCGTTTGCGTATTTTTTCACTCCACCACCTCCTCCAACTACACTTCCCGTCGCGGGTAGACTTCCAGGTGGAGCCAGACCTCCGGTTTTATTGTCCTTCATTTCGAGTCCAGCTTTTGATGAATACGACGAAATCTGTTGAAAAAGGAAACTTTCTAGACACTCCAATTCACAGATCATGGTGCCACCGATGTCTCCTCGATCTCGGCTTCAGTAGCAGAAGATAGCGATGATTGGGGAGATCTCCCGCACAGAACTCTCCCGAAGGGGATTGGAGTTCACTTTCGCGATCTGGTTTTCCAGGGGCGCTCACTGAGCATGGTTCCGGGATCGATCGACACCGCGCGTCAAGGGTTTCGGCCTCGCGTTTTCAGATTCCTCGGATCGCGCACCGCACACGCGGAGCTGTCCTCTACGAACACGAAAAAACTTGGAATTCACGCAAACTCCAGTCGATTAGCAGATGCTATAATTTGCCGCGGGACGCCGCCTCCAACGCGCTGAACGCTGTCACCGGCGACGTCGTCGTTACCGCCGCGATGTTTGACGTTGCTACCGGTTTTGTCATGGGTTGAGCATCATCGCACATGATAGTGCGTCCTTTTGCGTGGGACCCTCGTTCCAACAACCCGTTCGTTAGTCGGCGATCGTCGAGGCGGTTGCTCAGTCAATCGTTCCGACATACAGTCAATAATAATCCACTGTTGCTCCCAGGGTGAGGTCACGCGTCACAGCAACGGTCGAGGTCGATGGATAAGTTTTAAAACACTTGTTCGCGCAACATGTTAACACAACAGGCGTGAACATCGATTTCCAACCGCTACCGCGAGCCAAGTTTCGAGTCGGCTGTCCGGCTATCAATCCAGTCGGCGGGTCTATTGCTAGGTCGGCAGGCGGGAGGGCTGGCCGGCTGGCTCACTCCTTTGTTTGTCTACGGGTCTCTCTCAGTCTGGCTAGGTAGCTTTAGAATTCCTCTCGTGTTCGGCTGGAGCAGCCCTGGCTCGAAAGAGCGCCCGGGAGAGTGGGAATATTTCGATGCGAGCACACTACGCCGGTCGACCATTCAGAGAGCCAAAGTGTCAAAGCAGCGTGCCTTTGAGACGCCTCTACGCAAAAGCTCGAGACGGCAGAGGTCGCGTCGACGGCTGGCCTCCACGTAACGACGGAGTCTAGCTGCCTACGAACGAGGACAGGCGCACAGACGAGCGCTCATACGTCGGTGTGTCTCTCACGCTATTAGTTCCTCCTTGTCGCCGTTCTGTGGTCGCCGGCGCCTCGAACGGCAACAGCGCTATCAAAGCACTACTCCACTGATCCCAGAGCTCAAAAATCCCACCCATAAAATCTTTCGCGACAACCACGAACGCGGGTTTATCGAGTTCGGCCGACGCCGTCATTTTTACAACATCAGCTCAACCACCGAACGGCTGATTTCACACGCAGGGTTGATATTATGTAGAAATACGTGCACGACTGCACGTGAGCACGTGAGCCTTACGCAACCAAGGGCCATTCACGGACCGCATTATCGAACGGCTTCGTATGCACGACGTGGTCGACACGAGCGGATTCGACGCCGGAAGCGGTCGTGCGGACGGATGGCTAATTGGGACAAATTCGAAATTGACGCAGACTTCATTTCTTGACTGGCGACACTTTCGCCACAGCCGGAGCACGTCTCGTAGATCGCAGCTGACGCTACAGGAAATAGCATTGGCCGATCGTGTTAGCGCGAGTGTCATTATTCGTTTCGCTCATTCATTCAATCAGTCTCCACGCTATAGCAACCACGTCGGCGCCACTGGTGGTGGCTTCGAAATTACTGTGTCGAGTATCGGTATTATCACATAGAAGTAGTCGAAGCGGTGGCGACAACGAAAGTGGCGCGGTCGACGAGGAGGCAGCAGCAGCTACTACGCTCGATCTCGCCGATGGCGCTGCGTTCCGAACGCATCCGACGGGAATCTCATATTCTCCACCGAATTTAGATTGGCTCTATATTTAGCCAATAATACACTGAAGGGCTCTCTCGGCCGCCGCACCGACAGCTCATCAGAAACAACATACGCCCGCAGCAGCCCCCGTGGCGGCTTCCGCCGCTTAACCCGCTTTGCTCCAACTTACTACTACATTGCTAGTAGCTGTTACAGTGTGGTTTAAAACAGTTTTTGGAATATGGTCTTTCATCGTATCGCGTCACTTCGAATCAATATCTTTTCGCGGGGATTCATGGGAAGCGGCAATTTTCGTATCCTGGTGATCGGATTTTTTCAACCGCGCAGAATCCACAGCTAATATCCAGTAGTTCCCTCGATGGACCGGTCATCGGGGATTTTTACGATCATCCATAAAAGCCTCACAGAGCGATTGGGCCGTCTCGATTGGACACCTCATCGCCGCGGACGTTGTTGCGTATTTGTCGAATCCCGTTCTTCTGTACTCCTTCTTACCCGTTTCCGAAGTTCGTCCAAAAAAAGCATTGGTTAGATGTGAGTAGGTGACGCGAGACTCAACGACAGCTCGAACGACTGTATTGACGGAATAGGAGTCTGGCGCATGGGCGGACGGCGAGAGGCTCAGTGCAGGCCATTATATCCGATATATCCATACCAATCGGTCATCGATGCGTTAACCCTTGGGGGTGGGGCAGGGGAGGAGGGGGAGGGGCGGGGGAGAGATTCTTTTCGCCCAGTCATCTATTCGTCGCACTAAACAAAAGAGCACTGTAGCTAACGAGCGGATCCGTTTGTCCTTCCGGACAAATGCCCCTCCATTCGATGAAGATCCCGCACGTCGTCTTCGTGGGCCACCCACATCGTCAGCGACAACGTTTCGTTGATGATGCCGAAATGTCCTGATTGACACATTCTGTCTGGTCCTGATTGCGAACCGGCGATGACCGCACTCGACGAAAGCCAAACAGTGACCTCAGGGTATCTTCCCTATCGACAAGTGCTGCGCGATGAGCTTGGAGTCACACGGACAGCTTCCACTACTCGCTCTGAGACAATGTCAGTCAAGATGAACAACTGTTGCATGCCATGGAAGCAAGCGCTTCCGAGAGATGATATGCTTCGCATAAATTTGCTGGTCTACTGCCGGAATACGAAGTCATACGTGACAGTCGGGGAGCTACGTCAATCCACTGGTTTCAATGATTACATGAGTTACATAAATTGATCGATTGACGCGCTTCCTCAACCAGACCGAAACCGGAATCCATACCTGACACCTACAAACTCACTCGATACGGCTCACATCACGCGTCTTGAAGAGCACTTCCGATCAACTTCTACCTTCGCGACCGCCTGAGCTCGATCGGAAGGCTTCCGTTTCTAAAGCTCGAAGAACAAGCGTCTTTCGATTAGGATTCCGTTCACGGAATCTTTTTGGAAGAACCGGGATTCGGCAACAATCCTTGCGGCATACCATCGTCCAGGTCGCGCCGGCTGCGGAATTTCGCTACGCAATGCGAAAAGACAGTGCAGGCCCTCCGTACGATGAATCGAAATATTCTTCATTGCATTCGTTTGCTCTTATAGAGTGTATAATCTCTTCCGGGTCTGTTTCGATTCGACCGCGGCGAGCGATGTCGATGGCTTATTTCAGGGTTATCATCTCCAACCCTCACACATCTTCTGGGGACACCGCAGCCGACGGGTCTTTACTGACTAATGCTAGCCGCTTCCAGATTCGAAGGAAGCTCACTCTCCTGTTCGGGCTCGACGTCGCAACGATACAAGTTTTTCTATCTGTGTATTCGTCTGTCTGTCAGAAATCTTAAGCCGCCCCTCCGGAAACGCGCCATGCTGACGAATAAATCGCCTCTCCAGCCGGGATTGGACTATACGGTGCAGCAGCAATAAAAGTGACGATTGAACACCCAATCGAGCCTCAATGCATAATGCCCCAATGGTGTCCCAAGACGTTTCTGGCGACAGGTGCGCCGTGACCCACCGCTCTGTTTGCTCGTGGCAGTCGAAGCCGGGATCGCTTGACAATAGAGGAAGATTCACCATTAGTCTATTCTCATCCCACCTCCCTAATGAACTTGCCGAAGTGAAATCACCTTGAGGAAATCCCCGGATTCCATGCGAGTTGGAAGCAGGGATCGCTCATGGATCTTCGGAATATTCAAAAGAGTATTCCACGATGTCCGTCAGAAACCCTAATTCTCGGACACCATTCCGTAGAACCGATCCATGAGGAATCGAACCTTTATTTTCAGTCAGGCGTATTCGATGTCGCCGCGAGTCTTTGATTCGACGAAGTGACGGATAGAACAAATGACTAGGCGACATCGATCGCATGAACGCTCCGATAGGTAAACGACTAATCCATTATACGCTCGCCGGCTCCACATGGGAGTGAGGGAGTTGTTGGGCATTCCAAGGTGTTCTGCTTCGCTCGTTGCATGCGGCTCTTCCCTCTTTTGTCAGCGGTTCCACAGAGCTTCAACAGAATGCAGGCGCTAGCTCGCTTGATCCACACGGGAGACGTAAGCGATTCTGTAACCCGACCCTCCAAGGACGTCCTCTGGACGCAGTTGCCCGAGAAACTGAGCACTCGCTCGCTCGCCTGTTTGGCTAACTGACAGGCTGAGTCAGTGAGTGGAAGCCCGCACGCGCTCCCAGCCAGCCACCCATCCTCTTGCCTCCCGACTCGCCAACCATTCATTCGGGCTGATGACATGGAAGCCAGAACTCTTTCTGACAATGGAGCAACGCCGTGAGAGTCCAACAGAGCGACAGGCAAAAGTTATCACAGGCGGAAGGGAAAAGTGAACCCCTGGACTTCGTGTCTACTCGAGAATTTGAGTAACTCCCGCTCCCATCTATAATCGCAACGCTTCCTCGTTCAGGCGGGCCGTTCGGATGACCAGCTGGGGTCATCATAGACGTGCTCGACTGGAGTTGAAAACGTCGACGGGAGGGGTTTAGTCGAACTCCATCAACACGTTGGCTTTAAGGATTTGGTGAAGTATTTCGCCCTTAGAAGTCAGCGGCGAGTCGCCTTTCGGCGACGATGCCGTCCAAGCACGTCAACAAACGAGCTGTACGAACGAACGAACCGGCGAACGTGGCTGTTGTTGTCGTCGTCGTCGCCGTTACAGTCGCCCTTCTCGTCGAGTGTGG